GAAAGTCAACGATCAACGCCGGAAGTCAACAGTCAACGCTGGAAGTCAACGGCCAACGCCGAAGTCAATGGTCATTGTCAAAATAATATTTAAATAACTAAAATAACAAAAATAAAGAATTAAGTAATAAAAATAAAGAATTATTATTTAAATGAAGAGTTAAATCTTGACCACACATCATGTACCAATCTAGTAGCTAGGAATGGGTCTCACATTCACACTTTAAATATCTGTACTCATTGGATCTAATCCATATATATATATATATTCTTTTTTAAAAAAAATGAGGGGGGTCGTACTTCTTTGGCGTCGTTCGGATGTAAGATGCGCCTCTGGAGAGTGGAGACACCGATGCAAGCGAAGAAGTTAGTGAGTCAGTTGCCCTCGCGGAAGATGTGCGATGACATTTTGGTAAAAAAAAATGTTATTTTTTAAATATCTAGGTGGGTATAATGTACATATTCACATATACCATTGTGCATACCATTTATTATTATTGTGCATGTTTCGACATCACACAATCAACAAAGTATGAACACTCGTGCAGTGACAGATCTAGAAATTTCACTCAGGGGGGCCCGAGTTTAAATGTTAAATAACGAGCTTATTGTTTAAGTCGAAATACTCATTTCATATAAATATAAATATAAATAATGATACGTGTACCATAAAGTTTTTAAAGACATATAATCGTATCACCCTCCAACTTTATTTTTTTTTTTTTAAAAAGGAGATTTCAACTATTTATATGTTAAGTTCAACATCTATAATTTATGGACAAATAAGTTTTTTGGTTGAAAATTTGATTTAATTGAACTTTTGCACAACATTCCATAGCATTTGTGTTGATTAAAGCTTATCAAATGACATTTTTGTAAGAAAAAAATAAATAAAGTTAAAAATATGTGATTCAAATAAAAAAAGTAAAAAATCAACATTAAAAAATGTAATAATCCAACTAATAAATACTCGATTTTATAAATCACTAAATTGATTACAATCAATAGTCCAAAAAATTAAATCATTATAAATATTTTCAAAAGTTTATCTAAAAATTTAAAATATAAGGATTGTTAGTATATTTTATAATATTATTAATTTAAATGAAAATAACATAGGAAATAAGTTTTAATTTGTAAATATTGTAAATATTTTTTACATTGCTATAAATACTTATGCTATTTTATTTATATATATTGATTTTTAATAAGTTTTAATTATTAATATATTGTAATATTTTTTGTATTTCTATTTTATAGTATTTATATATATATATATGGATTTTCTAAAAAAATTGAGGGGGGCCCGTGGGCCCCTTATGGCTCCGTTAGTGGCTGTAGATAAGAATATCGTCGAAATAAACGACGACACTCTTAACGATATAATCATGTAAGGTCTGGTTCATAACACGCATGAACGTGCTAGGGGCATTCGAAAGCCCAAACGACATCACCATCCATTCGAACAAGCCCTCTCTGATCTTAAAAGTTGTCTTCCATTTGTCACCTGGCCTAATCCAGATTTTATGATAACCGCTACGTAGATCGAGCTTGGTGAAAACAGAAGCACCGTGCAGCTGGTCCAATAGGTCATCCAGGCGAGGAATCGGGAATCAGTAACGAACAGTGATCTTATTGATTGCACGGCTGTCTATGCACATACACGAGGAACTATCTTTCTTTGGAATGAGGAGGGCCGGCACCGCACACGGGCTCAGACTCCGGCGCACAACACCACGTTGAAGAAGCTCCTCAACTTGGCGTCGCAATTCCTCATGTTCTGCCGGGCTCATGCGCCACAGGCTACGCCAGAAGTGGCTAAAAAACCGAGTATCGCGGTCCGAGATTTGAAGAAGTTCTTGAAGAACCGCCCGAAGTCCTTTCAATGAAGAAGAAGACCAAGAAGAAGAAAAAGTGGTGGCGATTCTTCCCCAAGAAATAAAGAGACGACTTCAACTCCGCTCAAATCATTCAAAAACATCAATGACGTTCAAGCAATATTCAAGCCGCATTCGTCGAGAAGTTCAAGCAACATAGCGTTTGATTTGGGAAAAAACTCTCAAGCCCTCGAGACAACGTTATGAAAGCTCAATCCATATTCGAAGATCCAAATCCAAATTCATGAAGAGAAGAATCAGAGGTGATAAATAGAGATTGTACTCGCATATCGTTTTGATCGAAATAAAGCCAAGTTGTACAAAAGTTTTATGTTTTCCATAAAATTTGTTGTTACAATGATTATGTAGTTTTTATATTGCATAATAATATTGATATATGTTGTTTTTGTTCTCAATTTGGTAGTCAATTAGTCCACACATTCATTGCCTCGTGATATAATAAATATTGCTTCGTGTGATTTTTTATTTTTTTTTGGGGTTAAAAAACATTGTTACATATCCAATTAAAAAATGCAAACAAATACATACATCTTCTAGATTGTTATATAGGACACTCTAGGTTGTTTATCTGTTTCTCATTCATTGTTTGTTTGTTTTTGTTTTTTGTTTTTGTTTTTCATTTTGCTTTGTACTTGAACTCTTGTTGCCTTCTATCTTAATCAAATAAAACGATTTTCTTCAAATATATAATTAAGAGTTGCTTAGTTGTTGGCAGTTTTTATATTGCGTAGTAAAAGGTTTATACATACAGTAAACTCAGTTCTTTATTTGTCAAATAGATTTTATTATATAAGTACATTTATAAATTTATTTATTGTTAATTATTTGTTATATTTTACATGAAGTTTTTTGTAAGTGCAGTTTGTCAATTATCTTTTTTTTTTTTCTCTTCATTTTGGAATGTGTTAGAATATCATCACTTCTTTTATCACATTTTTATTTAAGTAATTAGTGTTTAATTAAATCAAAATAATTATTAGAAACTGTTAGATATTTTGGTGGATCAATTATTGATAAATATAAAAAATAAAAATTTTGTTTTAAAAATTAATTGTAGAAATTGATTTTATGTAAATTATTAGTGCCTAATTAAGCTGAAATAATTAATTAAAAATTGTTGATAGTCATGGGTCAATTATAGGAGAAGAGAATAAATGATAATTTTGTACATAAAAAATAAATATAGAGAATAAATGATAACTTTGTACATAAAAAAATTGTGTCACCGGTGAGGAGGTTACGAATATATTTCTGAACTGCTTAGTCACGTAATTTAATAAATGGTTTTTGGGAATGGTAATTTTATAAACTATTTTTTTAGAAAGGATAGTTACATAATTTTCCCACAATATGCGTGCATAATAATAATGTGAATGATGAACTACTAGTTATGTTGAAAGTCTAAGGATATTTTAAAACCGGAATTAAATGGATTAGTTGATATTAAGGGTGGAGTAAAGACCATTAATTATAACCAGTGGTCTCGTGTTCGAGCCCTGGGAATGCAGCAGTGTTAAAAACTCTTGAGGGAGAGCTTTGCCGCCCTTGTGGTCCTACCCGGCTCGATTCCGGATTTGTCGGTTCCCATGTGGATCCGAAAACCAGAAGGTCCCTGTATCAAAAAAAAGGCCATTAATTAGATTTTGCATAATTAGTGAATGGACCACTACAGAAATTAATCCCACTTCGGCTTAATTAAGCGTGTGATGCTTGTTGGATTATGACGCTCATGAGTCACTTTCATCGGAAGAGTATGAATGTTTTTATATCTTCCATCTCAATAAAATATACAATATGAAGAGTCCAATTTTTTGCCTGGCAACATTTTAGGATAGGGAAATGTTTACAGTCATGTTACGGAATCTTTTTATCGGGATTTGTAATCGTTAAATCATTATGTAATCACCGTGGATAGTTGATCTAACGGTTACAAACCCCGACAGAATAGTTCCGTAATGGGATGATAGAATCTCCCTTTAGGATGACAGTGGCAGATATTCAATTTACCTTCTTTCTTTTCATTTCCTAACATTTCAAAATCAATTAGTATTAAGAGAAAAATATATAGAGAACGGCCCTAAATTCGTAGAAAAAAAAAAAAATATTGTAT